GCTATTTTTCGTGCCATTGCAACGGAGATCTCTCTCCAAGCCCCATCGACCAAGTCTGCCGTCCCAGATTTCTGCCGTCGTCGGATCTTAAGCTCGTTACTACATACGCCTTGAGCAGTTTGTTCTCTAATTGTCATGTGGAGAAACTTGGATGATTTTATGAAGCATGATTTGGCCGGATTTCACTGAACATTTAAAGTTCGGAGTCTGTATTCAGACTAAAAAACCACAGGCAAAGGTGTTAAATTTAGCCTGCTGAGTTATTTCGGTTTGTGAACTATTGGGGATTGTGAACTTTTATGGTTTGAAATTTTTAAAAGCTTTAGTTTTGTTCAACCAATCAGATTACTTGGACCATTCTAACGAGGATTCTGATTGACTTATTGCAGCCTGCTCTATGAGAGTATAGAGCATGTTGACGACACTCTTGCTCGCTTTCGAAATAAAGTTTGTTTTGATAATTGAAAGTTATGCGTGGGGAATTTAACGGATTCTTTATTACAAAAAAATAGAGAAGCCTTGACTTTGTTCTCTTCCGTTGTAAAGCATTTTAGGAAGCGGTTGAGAGCACTCAAGAAGTGGGGAGAAACACAGAACTATGTCTCGTGTTCTCCCTACACTTCGTTCGTGCTTTAGCCGCTTCCTACGTGACTTAGAATCGAACAGAACACACTCAAGGCTTCTCTATTTGTTAAATATATCTAATGTTTTATTTTGACCTAATTTTCTTACTTATTTCTCTCTCTCTTTCTCTTTTTTTTTTTCGTCGAGTGTTTTATACACGAGCATCGTTGCTCTAAAGATTGGGTGACCACTTCCCACGTCATCGACAGTGAATAAATCATTATATACTAAATTACATTACTTTTCACTTTGCGAGATAAGCTCAAACCATAACAGAGAGGGTTGTTGTTTTCGGGAAAATTTCTTTTGAACCTCCTCCGTCTTATATCTCACTCAATAGAAAAAAATATTTCCATGACAGGTGAGAATTTAGCGAGAAAAACACACAGCGTTTCGATGACTCCATGTCATCATTCTCAAGTGAGAAGAGAATAAAAATAAATAGTTAATTTATACCGTACGAAGGTGACAAACGTAAAAAGTTAAAAAGTTTTTTTTAAAAAATTTAAATAAATAATTGGGCGTATTGAGTTCATAAATGTAAACTATTAAATAAATAGTTTCGCGCGTATGGAATCCGATTGTTTGTTCAAAGAGGGCTTCGTCTTATTTATGAAAAGCATTTCATGAACTAAACAGTCCAGTTTCCCCGGTGTGAATTTAGCGACTAAAGTAGGGCATCCGAATTATGGTTACGAAGTTTGTAGCACCTTTTATCGCTTAGTGCTTATTGTCATCGCCTCCTCAGTCGGTAAACCTTCTAGAGGAAAAGTTTGCTGTCCCGGCGGAAAATCCCGCGTCAGCTTTGTTTGCAGAGGAATAATAATAATAATAATAATAATGATAATAATAATAATTTACCAATTTATACAGTGCGTATTTACATGTGCTGATCAATAGCGCTTTACAATCATACGTTTAAGAGAAAGCAAAAATACATTACTCTGAAAATAAAATGAACTAAGTTACAAACTATAAAAATACTTCTTAAAAAGATAGGTTTTAAGTCGAGATTTAAAACTATAAAGTGATGTTACTTGACGAAGCTCCATAGCCCGGGTAGGCCATTCCAGAGTTTCCGAGCTGCTGCTGAGAATGATCTTGCTCCCAATGTTGTAAGCATCTTTCCCTTGGGATGGTCCAATAACAGCTTACCAGTAGACCTAAGATTGTATAACAAATTCGATTTGTATAGCATCAGCTTGAGCAGTGTTGCCAAGTGGTTTAAAGCTCAGACACAGCTGCGTATCGTCTGCAAAACAGTGAGCATCGGGAAGATAATGTTCCACAATCTTAAACAGCTTGGACGCATATATTATGAATAACAAAGGCCCCAAACAGGAGCCTTGAGGTACCCCGCAGTTCAAGTGAAAAGGACGAGAAAGAACCCCTTTGTAGAGAAACGTACTGACTTCTATCAGACAAGTACGATCTAAACCAGTTTAAAGCAGTCCCACGTATGCCAACCTCGTCGGATAGCCTCTCTAAAAGTATTTGACGATCAACATTGTCAAAGGCAGCACTGAGATCCAATTAAATTAACATAGTGACATGTTGAGAATTCATCTTTAACAAAATATCATTCATAACTTTGATAAGAGCAGTTTCAGGGCTACGGAATTGTCTGTAAGAGGATTGAAGCGCAGGACATTTGCCGCTGTGTCGCGTGAACCCACGAAAGTTCTTGACATGCACACAGGTCATTCCACTCTTTGGCTGTTCTTCAGCAAATTACGCACACATACTCAAAACTGAGGGAAATATCAAGTAATTCCAATGGTGTCATTTAAAAGCCCTTAATAGATTCCAACAACACGTAGCATGTTACGAAAGATATCCGTTTACGGTTCAAACAAAATGAAACATGATATTTTTTCCCTATCCTGTTCATATCGCTTTTGGAAACATATGTAAATGGATGCATCCATACTCAAAACACCCGAAAACACTCATGGAAGGGATAGTTAATGAGAATTTTTCTTTTTTTAAACGGATTCAAGTACTTCCAATGGGTGTCAAAAAATATTTCAAAGAAGGCTTTTAATGAATTCGGTGAAGCATGTGAAGTAGATTCGACAAGGAAGTCTTAAATAGTTCACAAATGAATCGTAACATTCTCCGAAGATAGAGCCGGTAACAACTTTTTTTTATCAAAGGGAGACATGGAGCCACTGAAGATTCTCCTAATTTTTAATGTTTTTCGTAAACATCAATATAACTTGGTGTACGTTTCCCCTCTTATTTTTGTTATATTCGATAAACGCATGCTCACGGCGATACGGAAGCAGGTTTGGACATCTGTTTCATCCTTCTATCACGTACACAAGTTACCCGATAAATATTAACATCAGCTGTTTTGGTTTGAGTTCTCATTGGTATGGATTTTGAGCTAGTGATCTCATTGAGCCAGTTTCCTATAATTTTCAAAGTTCTGGAATCACATAACGCTGTTAACACTCACACGTAGGCAATGACAACGTGCGTTTCCGCCCGTTGTTAAATCGGGACACGGTTTCACTCCTTAACTTTGCCGTTAGCCCTCCTAAGTCAATTTTTATTTAAATTCACAAATATCGTTGGCGTCATCTTAAAAAATTCCTCTCAACTAGCCATGCCTACATAATATAGACACTTCCTATGTAGAAAATTTTTTTTTTTCTTCATCAGGTAACCACACATATCTTCTTTTTAGGATGAATATCTTAATTGTTGTTATAAAGCATTCTTTATCATGTTAAATTTATTACACAGTTATATCCTTTTAGAAATAATTTGGATATATCAACAAAGTTGAAATGGTAAATTGGCCACCGTAACGATTACAAAAGCTGAAGTTTCGAGCGTTAGCCCTTCGTCGGAGCGAAAGGTTCGGTGGCCTTTATTACGGTGGCCAATTTACCATTTCAACTTTGTTGATATATCCAAATTATTTCGTTACCCCCACCGACGCAGCCCCAAACAGTTTCTTTAGAAACTATCAGCCTTTATTCATTTATATCCTTTTAGAGTTACGTCTTCACCTTAAAATAAAACGCTGAATAAAAATCTAAACCAGTGTAAAGGTATTGGAAAATTTATCTGCCCCTGTTTTGCGCTGTTCTTTTATACGCAAGCAACTTTTGATAAACAATTGGGTTAGCTGCAAATTTCTTTGAAGATTTTGAAGAGGTATTTCGACTGGGTATGGGTGGATCGCATCCCTGTGGAATAGTTGTCATAAAGCCGCTCTAAATTGTGGTATCTGCAGGGCGTAGATTACAGGATTTGTCAACGAGTTTGCATAGTAGATGGTTTGCCATGTCATCTCCATATGAAACTCTGACTGCCAGGAAAGATTTGACAGGGTTTCGAAAATCAGCAGGAAATTGATATATCGTCACTGGAACCCATGTCAATAATGACGCGTTGATATATCCAAATTATTTCGATGCCATTCTAAACTCTATAAAAAGAGGTCCAGAGACTGCACCGGCGAGGAGATCAACAATCGCCAGATGGTTGATTAAGTATTTACTCTGGCGCTGTAACTCGCGCTGCTTCACAAATGCAACAATAGTGATGATGTTTAGGATGACTATTGCCAAACATTCAGCAATATGGACAACAAACCATGGAATACACTCTGATGGGGGTATTGGAATCAAATCTTGTTGGCTAGAGTCGTTATGAGTATTGTTACTGATATCGTTAGCCATTTGGTTTCGACAGCTTTCCGTAATGCCCAAAACGATCTAGAAATAAACAAGAAAAAAGCTTTTAAGATTTAGCTGTATGTAATGTGTCGTATGCAAAAAAAAAAAAAAAACTTAATCAACCAATTTATTAGTTTATAAAATCTCTTTAATATTTTTTCCCTCTTGCGGTTTGAAGCAGTTTTAGATAATGAATGATGCAGATATTTGGAATTTAACACCCCCTTTTGAATTTTTTCTGTCTTCTCTTCAGCGATCATTTCAACCGCTTCTGGGAGATTCGCATTTCCATTTTTAAATGTCATGATTAACCCAAGCTGTGCTAATTTTTAACAATTTTTCTTTGTTGCATTCGGTAGAAATTCATCGAAAACCAGGGAGTTGCATTAATTCAAATGTCGAGGCGATGTAGTCTATCTTTTATTTTAATTTGACACGTGCACTTCTTTCGCTAATATAGGAGAGCTGAGTGGTGTGAAGCTAACTTTTTTCTCTAACAGGTTGAAAAGTTTATTTACCGTTTGGACATTTCAACAATGAGGCTTTTGTTCTTATCGTTGGTGAACTCAGCTTCATCTAAGTATGTATTGCTTCAAAATCTGAAAATTAGAAGATGCAAAAATGCGTCAGGTGAGCATAAGTTGTTACTCAAGGGATTCTTTATTCAAAGACATGAATTTTAAAGTGACTTTCAATGTACCCGTGGAATCTAATGCTTAATTTTCCTATAAAAGGTAGAGTTATCGACATATCACCAGTTTTCCCTTGCATGTTCACCCGGAGAAGAAGAACTCCTTTCAGTGCTTCCTGTCGCGAGAAAACTAATTACCAAGTAAATGTGGACATCCTTCTTTATCACAACATACGTTGTTACTTGATCAGCTGAAAATATTCAACCAACAGACCAAAATAGAAAGTTATTTTTTCGAATCAAACAGGTGTACGTCACGCTACCTGACGTTAGCTGACTTTTAATTTGAAATTGAATCTACTTAACTAATGCAGCTTTTATTAGCTCTCAATGCTAAGTCCACTGTTCCATTTTCCATGAATAATGAGACCATCTGCTTTGACTACATCCAATTTAAAAGAGACATTTTATGCCTTTGCGTCTTTAAAATCAAGCCAGTTTTAAAGCTTATTTGTCGAGTGTTACATGTATTTCTGGAAAATTCAGGTTTCCGTTTGATATTTAGCTCTCAAAAATACTCTCTTATTTTTCTTGTGATCAGAGATCTTTTTCAAATCTACCTCCCGATGACCATTTTGGTCAATTTACAGAGAATTGTCTTTTCCTTATGCAAATAGCCTCTTTTCGGAAAGTCACAAGTAAGCTATAACCGTCAGACTTTTAAACATCAAATTAATGTCACTGGATCTGCCTCAGAATTACAGATGAATCCTTTTTACCATCACAGGACGAAATCCCACGTTTCCGCATTTCGTAAATGTGACGGAAACATAGAGCTTCATATTTCCGCTACATTTACGTCCTGCGGAAACGTGTTGTACCAAGTCTTGGTGATTGTATCAAGTTTCCGTCATTTTTCCGGAACGGAAATGCCAGGCAATGTTTCCGTCATATTTAAGCCAGGACGTTTCGGCTGCTTTTTGTTTCCGTTATGTTTCTGCAAACGGATTCTTAATATCCTTGTTAAATCTTTGCAATGACGGAAAACAAACCGATCATGGTTTTGGGCATGATTTTACTATTTTGACGAAATTTATACGACAGGAAACTCCACTTAGATATCGATGAAATTGAATAAATAAGGGTTTTTCGGAACAACTATCATGCGAAAGTTTTTATATGAATTAGCAACTTCGGATTCTGATACGACGACTTGCAAAGTATTAAAATTGATTTTAAAACGTAGCATGAAATCGCCACTTTACTCCTCTTTATGTATATATTCTAGCGTAAAAAGCAAATTTTGTTTTCCGTAAGCAAGCGCTAACACAGCACTAGCGACTGCGCAGGCTTTGTAATCAATAAAGGCGCGTAAAGGGCGTTGATGGTTATATATAGTTCCGGGATTAATATTGAAAGAACTGCCAAAATATGTGAAATATTTGTGTCTGATCTCTCATCAGTGAATAACCGAGTAATTTGGATGCTTCTTCGTAAACTCATTAAGTCTCTTCAGGAATTTTTGTTAAGTGATGATGATCTTGACTCTGATGATGACTTTCGCACTTTAGACGTAGCCAATTAGTTGTAGTATTATCACTCAGCTCTTTTTAGATCTACTTTCTTATTAGAAATTTTTCGCTTGTGAAACTCTTAGATTTTAACAAAAGCTTCTGGCACAGGAGACTAGGTAACTGCTGTAATCTGTTTTGTAATCCGCAATAAATATTAAACAATTATTCGCCGAGGGCGAAGTGAGTATTGTTGAATAATCACCGAGACGAAGTTCGGGGGATTATTCATTAATATTAATTGAGCCTGAGGCGTATAATTGTTTTAATAGAATTACTTAGGTGCTTTCTAATTCTGTTGTAAATATTTGTTTAGATGTTGAAACCATTTTGTTTTTACATTTAATAACTTTTTACTAATGAAGCTGGAGCATGATCATTATGTTTGCTTCCTGATAACTGTAAATGTATTTCAGGCGTGTTTGTAGGTATGATGAATCCCCAGGGGCCACTAGGCTATTTAAGATTTTGTAAGTTATGCAAGAGCCACTCAAAGGCATCTCTTTCAACTTTGCTTTATTGTTTATTCACTGCTGTATTTTCTTCATGGTGAGGTAACACTCACTGTATCCTACATTGATAAACGAGGTACCCACTCCTAATGCTGTGTTTATTAAGATTAGTTACAAAATGTTTCATAATTGTTTCAGGGTGATCGCAGTGTAACAATTTTTTTGATTGCTCGTATCGACATAAAGCGCCCGTTACCGATAGAATTTGATAGTTTTAATTATATCAGCAAAAACATCACATCTTTCTTTTGAAAAGTGTTACTCCAAACGAAGAAGCATCTTTCGTGCCTTCGAAATTGAATTTTCTTTATTGGGTTTATTGGTAACACTGGCAAAATGTAAGGCAGCTGTTTTGAAACTTAGCGCTACTGTCACAATCATCTAATACGAGGTGATTATAGCAAGATATGACGCAATCCTTGACCAATCAAAGCGTGCGCGTCTCTAAAATTATATAAAATCTTCGTTATTCTTGGTTCCATCTACTGCAAGTTGGAATCCATGAACACTCTTGGAAATATCTGGCTGTCTTACCGCAACTTTCATTAAGATTGAACTTTTACTTGAGAAGCGCGAATGCAAGGTACGAACGATTCACTGATTCAGTTTTGTCATACCAGCTTGTGTTAAACCTTACGAAATAATCCTATTGTTTTTCAGCCACTCCGTCATTTTTTATGAACTATCGCTTCAGTCTTTTATCACTAAATTTGTAGCCGCCAAGGTAAATTTTCCCTGGCGTACAACTACAAGAAACAAAACGACTCAAAACCAAAAAAGAAAAACAAAGATAAAGCAAGTCAAGGTTCTCTCTGGGTTTGACAACTTTGAAAAATAAAAAATGATACTTAGTCAATTCTATATTATTTTCTATTTAACAAATAGAGAAGCCTTGTCTATGCTCTGTTCTGTTGTAAAGCACGCAAGAAGCGGCTAGAGCACGAAAGAAGTGTAGGGGTAAACATGAGACTTAGTCGCCGAGTGTTTCTCCCCAACTGTGAGTGCTCTAACCACTTCCTAAGAAAAATAGGTCAGTATAGCTGGGTCAGGCCTCCTTCCTAGATAACCTTTGTCGAGACAAAAGTTCGCTCAGTAAGAAAGGATAATTTTTTTGAGTAAACACAGAGATCAAAGCTGACATTTTTCCTCCATCATCAACTCGGGTCAAAAGCCAAATTATCAAGTTCGTATAACGCATTGTTAAGCCTCGAAGTACAAAATTGTGCAAGAGTGAAAGTAGTCCTTTTCAGGTTTATTCACTTGTTATGCCTTTAGTAGTAACTAAAACAAACACCAAGAAAGCCAGAAGAAACGGTACATACATACATATCACATTTCCACATATCACCTGATAGTCCCAAGAACATCAATGTCTAAGATGATATTGTTCAAAACTTCCTTTAATGTAACAAGAAAAAAAGACTGCAACTAAAACAACAACAATGGGATACAAATTGTAAAATAACCGTTGTTTTCGTCTAGGGTACATATTAAACCGAAAAAAATGTCTGCTTTGGGCAAAACATCCAAACGTTGATTCATTTAGATAACTCAACTTTCCTAGGACTACTTTTACTGTAGTAGCTCTTCCATCAAATTAAAATTGATAACCCAAACCCTGTTTGCACTCACGTTTGTGTGTTGTGCCGGGTTTTTGACTTGACAATTCCTTATCATAAAATGATCAAACAGGGAAAAAGTACTCGGTTCCAACCCAAATTATAGCACATCAAAGACGAAAAAAGTTTGAATTTTCTGATTAAAACTGAAATTATCGAGATGAGAAAGACAAGGGTTCGTGGTTTGCCCAACCTTCCAACATTGGCGTATAATATACTACTCCTCTGGTCTAAACCAAATGAAAACGTGTTCGCAAAAAACTGACTAGGGCAAACGTGAATGGAAAATTATCACTTTCCCACGAAGTGCCATCTTGCTTGCTGTGAATAGCAGGATTCACAATATTACTAGCTGGCGGCTTGCAGTGTGAGCCTAGTGTTGAGATAACTTTTTTGCGAGAGCGTAAAATGTTTCTCAGCCTTTGAAAGTCGAAAACTCTCAATATGATTTCGAAAAAATGCATTTTCTTCAAATGAATTGAAAGGGTATATAAAATTAACGGAATTTCGTGAAATTCGTAAATTGAACATCAACTGAATAAGGAGTAACTCAATTGCGTTGGCAATCCTTTTCAATCAAATATTCCTCTTTTTTGAGGCTTCGGAACGCAGCACGCTAATGGCAATATGGAGAAATGCTAAGCTACGTAGAGAGAGTGATTCTTTGTCTTAACACTAAGTAGCAACACGGCATCAGAGATCACAAGTAAAAATGTGAGTAAATTGCTTCCGAGGTTTCATTGGTATGAGGACGTTAAAGTTAATGTCTTAACATTTTAGTTCTTTATAGGACGGCTAGGAAATGTACAAAGTTTTAGAACACACGTGCTTCACTTTTAAGCTTTTTGCCATGAACGCGACCCTGGCTAGGCGGATTAACCCAGCTTGAGACGTTTACGTTCAAATTGTCACCCCAGCTAACAGGGTTGCCCTGCTTAGCAGACCGGGAAACCCGGCCCAGGTGGGTCACCTCACCTATCATGTAAACGTGACCAAGATAATAATAAGAAACCATTTGGACAGGTGGGCTACCCTATCTAGACCGGTTACTCCACCTGGGGTCCCCCACCTCCATGTAAACCGCGGGCCCTAAAGCGGTAAAATCCTTTATCTACTTCCTGTTATGAATTTGAAAGTTCTATTCCAACGTGTGCGAAACCACTTCAAGCGTTCTTATGCATAAGAAACTAGCCACTTAGGAGTTAATTTAATCTGTGACACTAAACGGGAAAAGTCCCTTGTAAACTTTTTGTTTTCTTCTATGACGTTATTGCGTGAGCAATATGAAAATATTCATCATGTGATATCTGCTTAGTGGCCTCAAACGGTCTGATGATGAAAGAAATACACATCCGCTGCGCCTAGAATTTGAGGATAAATGCCATTCGTAACCAGAGATCTACAGTTGAATCTTGGCGTTACTCGTGAAAGCTTGTAATTATTTTGTCTTTTTACTCTGGATCCAGCACCTCAGGTTAGTTTGAATATACCTTGAGATA